CCAACTCTTGGGCTACTCTTGTACCAACAAATAGTAGGATTGACCGTCACATTATAACGCCCCCACGGATGAAAAGGCGAGCATGTTTGGTGTGACGGGGATTCGAACCCGCGACCCTCAGATTGCGAGTCGAGCGCCCTAACCACCTGGCCATGCCGGGCCTCCTATAATAAGGCAACGAGGACACATAACACAAAGTGAGTAGAAAATAATCTTGGCAATGATTCAGAATAGTTTGATGGATTCCCATTGCCACTTTGGCGAATAGCAGGCTTTTCTACTCGCCAATTCCTGACAAAGAATACCCCCCCCCCTCTCACACATACATATAAAGAAATCATGGTTTGTATTACATTAATACAGCCACCAACTAAAATGATTTTTATTATCTACACACACACAAACACAGACACACACATATATACGGTAGATAAAAGCAATTTAATAATATTGTTCAATTAATTTAAACAGTACGTTTGTTACTGTTTGTATGACTAGGGGTTTGTGAATTAATGAGATATATGTATATTTTTGGTTGTAGGTTTAGAGGTACACATTTCTACTCGTTCGTGTGTCTATTTGCTTGGTTGTAGGTTTAGAGGTACACATTTCTACTCGTTCGTGTGTCTATTTGCTTGGTTGTAGGTTTAGAGGTACACATTTCTACTCGTTCGTATGTCTATTTGCTAGACTTCAGCAGTTCAGAATCTCCAGGAACACACATAGAACTACCCGAAATGATTTTCGCGTTAGGCGATATGAATTCCACACCCCTGGTTTAAATAAACGTTAAAATAACTCTTCGTAATGGACACAGCGCTGGTAGCTCATTGTCAGCTTTGTGAAAAATCAGAAAACAGTAAAACAAATACCAGTGAAAATTTACAGGAAAAAACAATTACCCAAAATATGTCGCATATCTTGTTTTGAAAGGTCATTTACATGGTTTTTGTCGTTTTTGAAATAAGTCACTGCAGCCAGTTCTGAGAGCTTCCAAAAATATTTATTAATGTGTTCAGTAAGAATACTAATCATGAAAGACTCTATAAACTTCCATGCCAATTTTCTTGCGAATCCATGAATCAGTCCCGAGAGTGTCTTCAAAACCCTTTATGGGGACTCAAATTGCAATTTTCCAAAATCTTAAAATCTTAAGTCAGATATTTTGAACGGATCTTTATACATTTTATTATAATGTGACGGTCAATCCCACTATTCGTTGGTAAAAGAGTAGCCGAAGAGTTGGCGATAGGTGGTGATGACTAGCTGCCTTCCCCCTAGTCTTACACTGCTAAATTTGGGACGGCTAGCGCAGATAGCCCTCGTGTAGCTTTGCGCAAAATCCATAACAAACAAACAATCTTTATAGATTTGAACTAATTTTTAAGTAAATCGGTTTTTTGAAATCTAAGAGCCTACAAAACCCCTTGGCCCCCATTTTTGAATCCTCTCGTAAGTCTTTCGAAAAATTTTCTTCTCTTATATGTTGTGGGGATCTACAACCTACATGCTGAATATCCTGTTTTTCCTTAACAATAGTCGAAGAAGTTCAAAACTCCACTAGACATAGATAAATATGTACATCTGAGAATTAATTACTATATAGACAAGATGAGCTGACAGCTGCTCAAATAATATTCACCAAGCCACAAATAAGAAATAATTACTACATATGTAGGATAAGCTCACAGCTGCTCGAGTATTACTCACCAAGCCACAACTGAGAATTAAGTACTATACAGACATGATGAGCTGACAGCTGCTCAAGTATTACTCACTAAGCCACAACTGAGAATTAAGTACTATACGGATATAATGAGCTGACAGCTGCTCGAGTATCACTCACGAAGCCACAACTAAGAATTAATTACTATAGATATATGATGAGCTGACAGCTGGTCGAGTATTACTCATCAAGCCACAACTGAGAATTAAGTACTATACAGATATAATGAGCTGACAGCTGCTCGAGTATTACTCACCAAGCCACAACTGAGAATTAAGTACTATGTAGATATGAGGAGCTGACAGCTGATCAAGTGTTACTCACCAAGCCACAACTGAGAATTAAGTACTATACAGATATAATGAGCTGACAGCTGCTCGAGTATTACTCACCAAGCCACAACTGAGAATTAAGTACTATACAGATATGATGAGCTGACAGCTGATCAAGTGTTACTCACCAAGCCACAACTGAGAATTAAGTACTATGTAGTTATGAGGAGCTGACAGCTGATCGAGTGCTACTCACCAAGCCACAACTGAGAATTAAGTACTATGTAGTTATGAGGAGCTGACAGCTGATCGAGTGCTACTCACCAAGCCTCACTTCTTTTGACCTCATCGTCTGAAAATTCTTGATCTAGAAGATGCCGGTTGTAGTAGAATTCTAGTCGTAGCAAAATATCGTGCAAATCTGCGGTTCCGTGCCGCGAGAGGTCGCTACAACGGCGAAATGAAAAGCGAAACTACGGTTACATGATGCTCCATTTATAGACGACTGATAATAAGAGACAGCTTCGTCCGTCTCAACGTACAGAACTGAATCACCTTTTCCTTAAGTCAAAATTTAAAACTTAATTGTCTAATAAGCAACACAACAGTACAATTAAATATACTAATTACGTATCTGAGACACTTTTAACCAAACAAACTTTATGACTTAGAAACGTTATATGTATATATATATATATAGCATGTGCTGGTACCGAGAGTAAATCGTCAAATGAATGAAGGCTGATGGGTAATGTTTCTTGGACGTACTCAACTTTAAAGGCTTCACAACAAAATGTAAAATGAACAAGATAATTATCAGTGTGAAATCACAATATCCTATTATTTTTAAACGAAGTATCTCGAGTTTCCACATTAGCTGGATCATATCAAATTATAAAGGTTAGTTTCTGTAATAGCTGATTTCTGTATAAAAAAAAAGGAAAAATGTGTTGTTTTTGTCATCGCAATAATAATAAGATGAATCTGAATTATGTCCTGTTATAAATCAATTAGAAAAAAACTAAAACTGCAAAAAACGATAAAGAAAAGCTAAAATATCATACATTTATATTAGCAGTTATGAAGCCAAAACGAAAAATTACATGAATTCACAGAATAAGGAACCCGAAAGTTTTGTTAACACATTGAAACAACCATTTGAATTCAAACCTACAATACTATCACCTTATTAGTGTTCAATATTTCTACTTCTAAAATATTAGACTGTTTGATAAAAATTGAGAACATACTTAAAAACATTCAACAATTTTTGACTAATACGAGTTAGTGGTGATAGTTTGATTACAGGGAGAGTCAACCATATTATCTTACGTTATTACTTACTTAGTTTTCTGCTCATTCTAACTCTAAAATAGCATCGGTATTTGCCAGAAAACTATGTTCACTACTTGAATTAATCGACTTACATTTTCTGATCAAGTAATGCTCCATCGAGTTCGTGAATCAAATCTGCTTGGCTCTGGGCCTCTACTGTTGGGTACAGCTGAAAAAAATAAATAAAACAGTAATTCTCGAAGGATACGATAACTACTGATAAACTAAAATAAGGATGTATTTGTTCATATGACTGATACAGAATACGATAACTACTGATAAACTAAAATAAGGATGTACTTGTTCATATAACTAATGCAGAATACGATAACTACTGATAAACTAAAATAAGGATGTACTTGTTCATATGACTGATGCAGAATACGATAACTACTGATAAAGTAAAATAAGGATGTACTTGTTCATATGACTGATGCAAAATACGACAACTACTGATCAACCAAAATAAGGACGTACTTGTTCATATGACTGATGCAAAATACGATAACTACTGATAAACCAAAATAAGGATGTACTTGTTCATGTGACTGATACAGAATACAATAACTACTGATAAACTAAAATAAGGACGTACTTGTTCATATGACTGATGCAGAATACGATAACTACTGATCAACCAAAATAAGAACGTACTTGTTCATATGACTGATGCAAAATACGATAACTACTGATAAACCAAAATAAGGATGTATTTGTTCATGTGACTGATACAGAATACAATAACTACTGATAAACTAAAATAAGGACGTACTTGTTCATATGACTGATGCAGAATACGATAACTACTGATCAACCAAAATAAGGATATATTTGTTCATATGACTGATGCAGAATACGATAACTACTGCTAAACCAAAATAAGGATGTACTTGTTCATATGACTGATACAGAATACGATAACTACTTATAAACTAAAATAAGGATGTATTTGTTCATGTGACTGATACAGAATACGATAACTACTTATAAACTAAAATAAGGATGTATTTGTTCATGTGACTGATACAGAATACG